CATGGAATTCGTAGACATTGATCAGCTGTGAAGATGCATGGTTGCGGCACGGCAGACCTGGTCCATGGCTCGCCGCGGAGCGATGATGTAACAGGGACGCGCACGCCAAGCCAACGCCCCAATCGCGTAGCTCTCACGCTAGCACGGGTGGAGGTGTCCGTTGAACATGTGGGGATGAACTGGTCTTGTTGCGTTCGCGTTCGTCTCGTGATGATCCGATTACAATTACTCTGGGTGTTGCATACAGGTCGCTTGAGTGTATAATGATGCTGATATGCTGAGAGAGGCAGAATCGGTACATCTCCATTCACATCCACGGGCGCAGGTCGAATTGGTGTTAACGACGTTTTCACAAGAAAAGCAAGTACTGGGCAGAGATTGTAACCTATCACCAGAACTAAAGAAACAAGAAGCAATGCAACATGATAAGTAAGTCATATCATAGCTCATTCGACGCATGCTCAATGGCTCATACGACACTATCTCAACTACACATCCCCCTCCAACCAAAACCCCCCTAGTAAACATACCTAAAGTTAGGGTTCTCCTTATCCGTCAAGTCATCAAAGCCATGCGCATTGCTAATATCCTTTCCAAACTCCCTGTCCTTCTTCTTATTCCTGAGCGTGAGGTTGAACCTCAAAAACGCAATGACACACAGCAGCGCGCTGTAGCACCCGAGATGAATAGCCAGGGACTTGAGATAGCGTGGGTCGCCATCGAAAAACACCTTGGGTCCAATCGCATTACCCGCGCACCACGCGAAGAAGTTCATGGTGATGCAGACGGATTTCTTGGTCTGCCCGCCGACGTTGCGGGTAAGCATGGACATGCCGAGACCCTGGGCGGCCCAGAAGGTGAAGACGATCCAGTAGGAGATGAGCAGACCGGCTTTGGTAGCGTTGTTTGTGTTTTTAACGGTCATTATGATGATTGTGCCGACGAAGGCAGGGATCATGAAGACGGCCATGGTAAGCAGGTTTTGCTTTGTTTTCTTGACCATCCAGGCGGAACCCATTAGTGTGGCGATGATGACGACACCAAGGACCATGGCGAGGAGTTGGACTTGAAGAGTGTCGAAACCGAGGTCTTTGATGATGATGTTGTAGAAGGCGCCGAGGCCTGACGTGGGTAAAGTGGTGAAGATCTGAATGCCCATGTAGCAGTAGGTTTGGGGGTCGAGGAGGGCTTCTTTGAATTGGTAGGCGCGGAACTTTTTGTTTTGGAGACCGGTTTGGTTGGAGCGTACACGCTCAACCATGAGCTTCTTGTCTTCCTCTGACCAGCATTTGGCGCGCATGGGGCTGTCGGGGAGGCGGAAGATGACCCACAATCCCCAGATGAAGGAGAAGCAACCGTATGTGATGAATATAGCTTGCCAGGATCGGATAGAAGCGTTACCGGGGTTCGCAGAAAAGCTAGGATGTCTGATGTTGGTGAAAGCGTATGCGAGGAGACCGCCGACAATCTGTTGCATGCCGTCTGTAGGTAAGGATTAGTTGGTGCTGCATGTCTTTGATCTTGTATAACTTACTCATCATGTACCAGTACGTAACGATCTGGGCCTGCTCCTCACGCTTGTACCAGAGAGAAGTCATGATGAGGAAAGCGGGCTGGCAGACAGCCTCGAAGATACCAAGGAGTGTTCGGCAAACGACGAGCGCAGGGAAGCTGAAGCAGGCTGCATGGCAGGCAAGTACGGTACTCCATGCAAGAATGTTGAATCCGAGGTATTTGGCTACTGGTACTCGTTGGAGAATCCAGTTGGTTGGGTATTCGACGACCAGTACAGCGAGGTAGATACAAGTGGTGAGCCACCCAAACTGTCATGAGTCAGTGCATGATACTAGTGCCCACAGATTTTGCAACTCACTGTCTCTTTGGAAAGAAGTGCGGGAATATCCTCACGGATACCCATGATGGAGGTAGCGGACATTGTACCCTTGTCCAGCGATTGCAGGAAGTACGTGATGACCATAATAGGCAGTACACGACGGTCGATCATCTTCTTTAACCGGGCGTTCTCCTCTTCCGAGATGAAAACCTCAGAAGCGTTTGCGTATTTGGCGACTTCCTTGTCGATACGATCGTAGTCGGCATGGTCGCCCTTCTCGTCTCCCCCTTCGGAGAACACGCGCTCGACCTGGCTAATGTCCTGCTTATCGTCCGAATGGCGAACAGCCTCGGGTGTGTGGTGCACGCCATCGGCACTGGCTCTGGTGGTAGCCATCTTGAAAAGAACTTCCGAGAGCTTGACAGCGGAAGAAGGAATGAGGTTTGCAAAGAAGAAACCCCAGGACTCGCGAGTGAGCTGGCCAGGATGGAGGAGCGGTCGAGTTGATATTTCTACCCGATTTTAGATTGTTCCGTCCAAGCGTTCCCCGGCCTCAAGCTACCCCAGGCTGGCAGGCTACTCCGCAAATCCTAGGATCCAAGAACCTGCACGTTCAACGTCTAGCCGGTATTGACTATTGGTGATCATCTCCTTGTTTCCGCACCCCAGTTCGAGGTAGGATTCTGGAAAGGCGTGCTGCAAGCGCGACCCTGTCGGCGCCAACGCTGCATCTTGAGTCGCTAGCCTCTGGGGTTCGCCAACCCCGCCACCATGCCGTCCATACAGATAGTGGAGTGCTTGGGAATGCGGAGTAGGATCAAGCAGTGTGGAGAGTGCCACCACTTGGCGAGGGTCCGTTTGTGGTAAAACATCGGCGTAGATGCTGCCGAAAGGCCACCCGCGTCCCTCGTGAACGCATGTGATGGGTCAAGCTCGCGCGAGTGTCATGCGAAGCTTCGTTGCTGGGCCCAAGGCGGCTGGTGGAAGATTTCGTCCGCCTGCAGCGAGTTGGCGGCGGCTGGCTTTCCCAGGCTGAGTCGTGTCAGGCGGCCAAGCTCCTTCACGGCGGTCGCACTTCCCTCCACGGTGTCTTCCGGCCCTCCAAGAGGTAAGCGATTGGTGACCTTCACGCCGGTATTGTCAGTTTACTGATCAGCGAATCTCGGTGCAATGCAATGCGAGCGCGGCAGAAACCCTAGAGTGGGATGTCAGCAGCAGGCGTCCGTGGTCTCGGTGTTGATGTTTGACACGAGAAAAGAGCCGCGCCTTCCAGGAACCCATCTGCTGGAGCGACTCCACGTGTGCCCAGCGCCCAGTCGGGGTAGAGATGGACGAGTCGGTGCAACAGGGCACGAAATATGGCAGTGACATGCAGCATCGATGCAATCTACGCGGTTGAGGACCCTGAGCGTTCCCCAGTTTTTGCTCCCCGCTCTGTTCCTGGGTTGAGCTCTACCGACGCGTGTGACCGACGGCCTGTATCTAATACCCACTTGCTAGACTACGCGTGTGATGACATCTGTTCTCTTGCTGTCTTCTTCTAATACTTGCGTTACATTCCTCAATTGCTTGTTGCTGTAATCCTCATTCAGTTGTGAGCACATCCCACTATACCTTCGCTGCGACCGCGACGTACCCAAAAAACGCGCCCACCATGTCCACACTCACAGTCCACGGCCTCACAAAAGGCCAAATAGACGAGAAGATCCTCCTCCTGACCCACAACCTGATCAACGTCAACGACACAACCGGCGAGTTCCTGCTAAAACTCGATGATGGTCGCATCATCGACACCAAAGGCTGGGACGGCTGGGAGTGGACACACGGCATCGGTCTCTACGGGCTATGGCACTACTACACGCTGACAGGCAGCAAGGCGACAATGGACATCATGCAAGGCTGGTTCACCAAGCAGCTCAGCAAAGGTACAACGAAGAACATCAACACCATGAGCCCCTTCCTCACACTAGCATACCTATACGAAGAGACAGGAAACAAGACCTTCGTGCCCTGGCTAGACACATGGGCAGAATGGGTCATGCACGGTCTGCCCCGCACCAAATTCGGCGGCTTCCAACACGAGACATACAACTCGTTCAACAAGGACGAACTCTGGGACGACACGCTTATGATGAGCGCGCTGCCCCTCGCTAAGATCGGTCTTGTGCTCAACCGACCGGAATACGTAGAGGAAGCAAAGCGCCAATTCATCCTCCACTGCCAGTACCTCTGCGACACATCCACAGGCCTGTTCTTCCACGGCTGGAAATGGGAAGACAAGGGCGGCTTGGAAGTCGGGCATAATTTTGCGCGAGCAAGATGGGCGCGTGGAAACTCATGGTTGACGATTGCGATTCCGGATTTCATTGAATTGCTTGACCTTAAGGAGACGGATCCGCTGCGCCAGTTCCTCATTGGTATTCTCGAGTCGCAATGTCAAGCGCTGTTGAAACTGCAGGGCGAGAATGGCATGTGGCGCACTCTTCTCGATATCCCCGTGTCAGAAGGTAGCTACGAGGAGGCTTCTGCTACGGCAGGCTTTGCGTATGGTATGCTTAAGGCGTGTCGGAAGAGGTATATTAGTGGGGATGTGTATCTGCAGAGCGCGGTGAAGGCTATCAAGGCTGTGATGGGCAAGATTAGTGCGGAGGGTGAACTGACGGAGACGAGTTTTGGAACGGGTATGGGCCATGATTTGCAGCATTATAAGGATATCAAGATTACGAGTATGCCGTATGGGCAGGCTATGGCTATCATGGCATTGGGAGAGTTTATGAGGACATTCATCTAGGGATGGTGTGTGGATAGAAGAGTTGAATGGTCAATGGAAGAACATGGCACTCTCACGTGAATTCACATGCTGACTGACACCGAGCAAAAATTGAGCAAAGTTTCAAGGGATTAATATTGAAGTCAGCGATTGAAACATGTCACTTACCATGCTCTAAGAGCTACATACATACGAGGTAAACAGCAATATACACGTACTCTCGGGACAGCACGATTACGTAAAATGGATTTGAACTGTCAGTTGAAGACGAACAAGGCGTCCTAGCCCATGCTGTACACATCCCAAACAAAAAAGCGGTGATTTTCCTTCCATACCCCTATACCCAAACGCCAAACCGTGCAATAACCACTCCCATCCCCATCCCTAGTCGCTCACTCACTCCTGATTCGCAACCTGAATCGGCATAACATTCCCCGAATCAACAATAATCTGCGTATCGAGCCTCTTCCCCGTATCCCCATATTCCAACCTCTTCCACGTCACAATGCGCGCCTGATTCGTATCGATCTCAAACACCCTTAACCTCCTGTGAAAGTGGTTGTAACCCCCGTAGCCACCAAAGCCACTACCACCCGCATAGCACATCCACAACTCTGGATCACCGGTCTCGGGTTCTTTGGAGAGGGCGCAGTAGTCGTTTACGTGGTCGTGGCCGCAGGAGACGGCTTTGATGTCGTATTCGACGAGGGCGTCTTTGAAGTGCGTGTTGAAAGCAGGTGCGGTGATGGGTTCGGTCCAGTTGCCCACGCGGTCGTTGTCTGGATTGCCGTATTCGGGGAGGGGGATGTGGATGAAGGCCATGTTGAGGTGTTTGTGCGTGTAGTGGCTGTGTGCTTCTTTCAGGCCGCCGGCGGTGGCTTTGAACCAGTCGATTTGGTTGGGCTTGAGCCAGTCGTAGCCCCGGTAGTGGGTTTCGTCTGGCGAGTAGGCGTGCGTGTCGAGGAACCAGAGGGTTAGGGCGGAGTGCTTGCTGCCGTGGGCTTGGATCTCGACGAAGTAGTTTCCTACGCCGTCGATTGTGTTGGGACCGGGTTCGCTGACGGAGTAGGGGAGCGAGTCGTAGAGGTCCATTTGTGCGTGGCGGGAGAGGGTGCCTTCGTCGTCGTGGTTGCCGAAGATGGCTGCGTACGGTATCTTGCGCTCTGCGAGGGGTTCGACTATCTTGAACATGGCCTGTGAGACGGTTAGCTTTGTGGTGGGTAAAAGCTAGAAGGCGCCCTACGCTCTGCACATCAGGTGCTGTATCGCCATTGACTTGGTCGCCAGACAGAACTACGAAGTCTGGCTTTTCGTCGTCTAGCACCCTCTCCACAAACTCTATGGTCCTGGGGTCGGCGTCACAGTGTCCGCCGTTGTGGCCTGGCGGCTCTGCGTCTCTGCAGTGGCCGAGACCAGTGCTGAGATGCAGGTCAGAGATCTGCATAATCTTGAATTTGCCATCCTTTCTGATCTTGGGTACGGGCTTCTCGAGCTTGGCTGCTGGGCCTCTTCGTATGCTCAGGCGAGGATCTGTGCTTGCTTTGCCCGTCTCAAGATGCAGGGCTCCGTTCTTGACCAGCTCCCAGCCAGGGCGTGGCTCTACTGCGTCGGCGCCGAATAGGATGTCTACGGCCGTCACTGCCTTCTTGTCGTCGCTCGCGTGACGCTTCAACGAGCGCTTGATCCAGAGGCCAGCTGGGCGCGACTCCCACTTCTCCGACGCCTGGGCCTTCTCTCCCACAGAGGGATCAAGCTTGCCTGTACGAACGTCGATAATGACCTTGTCCTCTGTCTTGAGCTCCTCTTCCCGCTTGCGCTTGATGTGGACGTATCCTTTGGTGACCCAGCCGGAGCCGAGGTACAGGTCCTTCTCTATGCGATGCCATTTCTTCTGGTCTAGCATGCACTTGGAGAGTGGATTGATGGTCGAACATGTCTGTACGGTGATATCGGTGATAACGAGGCCATCGTGGTGCAGTGGCATGTGACTGTGGACAGATTGGGGGAGGACGCGGTAGCGGTTATCGAGGAAGAATATGGTTAGGGAGACGACGATGGTAAGGGCTATGAGCTGAATGCCCGTCCGTACCTGGGACTGTTAGTACTGGCGGAAGAAGCGATATGCTGTACGTACTATACGGCGCGTCATGGTGGAGGCTCCCGAAGGTGTGAGTAGTGGCGCATAGAGCCAGCGTCGGGTTTAGGATATGTGTCTTTCGCAGCAACGCGATCTCATCTCCATGACATGGGCTCGTTTGCTGAGGGTGTGAAGTCAAGCGTGTTGGGCGAGGCGCATGCGTTGGAAGTGTGCAGGTGCTCCATGTTGTTCTTGGCCGAACCCTGGAGTCTCGGATCGTCAATGGCGATGCAGGGATTAGATTCACCGCTGTGACGTTATGCATTATGCAGTAAAGTAGAGTAAATATACTGATATACGACGTAGCAGAGGCAGAAGCTATGTGGAAAGGACTTAGTTCTCTATGTCAAATTTACTGCATTCACACGCCTGCAGAGCATACTCGGTGCCCTCCTGCGGTCGCGGCTCGCTTGGTGCGGAGAAGGCGTCACCTCCGCATCTGCACATCTTTCTTCTTACAAAGCCATGCGATCATCCTCTCTCCACCAGCTACGCCGTGCTGCACTCCGACCGCGTGCGCGACACTTTACAAGTAGCTCCTGCCTCCATCGCGCTTTCCAAGGCAAGACCTCCGCTTCCACCACCCCGACCCCGCTCACAGGCGCATAGAAGGCGATGTTGTGCTCCTGCGCGAGAGCAAGGAGACTCAGGATGGACGTCTCGTGAAACTGCAGGCGACCAAGACCCTCGGCACACATCGAGGCGTCGTCAAGCATGCAGATGTTATTGGAAAGGAGCCACGGCAAATTGTCCGTTCCCACAAGGGTGACACCTTCCGCATCTACGAGCCTACGTTGGCCGAATATGTCAGATTGACACCGCGCCTTGTCACTCCAGTGTGTATGCCATGCCACGACGAGACAGAATACTCATGCTGACATAATACAGATCTACCCTTCAGATACCAACCTCATAGTGTCCCTACTCGACATCCATGTAGATACTCCATCCGCTACCCCCAGCACCGAACCACCTCTTGAGATCCTCGAAGCCGGCACAGGCCATGGAGCGCTGACGCTGCATCTCTCTCGCGCTGTACATGCCGGCAACCCTCCAGTTCCAAGAACGCCGTCCTACGTCACTACCCAAGAAGAACCCGAAGACGCAGTATACCTCGGCGAGTCCATATCAGACCTACAGGAATCAGCACTATCGTCGTGGAAGCAGAACCGTCGCGCTGTGATACATACCCTGGATATATCCAATAAGCATTCAGTACATGCGAAGAAGATAGTCGAAGGCTTCCGACATGGCATGTACGCGGGCAACGTCGACTTCCACGTAGGAGACGTGTCTGAGTGGATCGCCAAACAGAGAGCTTCGAGAAAGACCGAGGAGCCATTCCTGACTCACGTGTTCCTGGATCTTCCTAATGCGACAAGTCACCTCGCTAATGTCGCTCCTGCGTTGCACGTCAATGGCATGCTCGCCGTCTTCAACCCAAGCATCACCCAGATCGCTGAATGTGTCGAAGCTATTCGGGAACATAAGATGCCCTACCTTCTTGATCAGGTCATTGAGCTAGGAGCAGGTACAATTCGCGAGTGGGATGTTCGTGCAGTCAGACCGAGAGCGCCTATGAAGAAGGCTCAGCCAGAGCAACCTTCCGAGCCTTCGAGCGATGAAAGCACAGACTCGGAATCAGGCCAAGAAGGACGGGATAACGAGCTAAAAGAAGATCTGAGCAAACAGGAGGAGAAATGGGTCATGGTGTGCCGACCAAAAGCTGGCCAAATGGTTGTCGGAAGTGGCTTCCTGGGTCTATGGAGGCGTATGGAGAAGCCAGAGAAGAAGGAACCGGCGGAGAGGCCTGGCAATGAACCATTGACTGAGTAGCTATAAGAGGCCCAGAATCAACCCCGTCTCACCGTCTCCTGAGGCGGTCTGATGTTCGGTTTCTGCACATCCACCTCCCACCGCGCCCGCCCACCTACACTCTGACATCAACACTGAACTTCCACCACGTTCCAGTGAAAGTGAAAGTGAAAACCAGCCCAATGCAAACGCGCAAACGCACTAATTCAAAAATCTCTGCATCGCAGCCTAAAGTTACATCTCTTCCTCGCGCTCCTCCATCCTCGCACCACCTCACACCAGCCGAACCTCTTCAGCTGCCCTCTGCCGTGATCAACTGCCTACTTCCTAACACACCTCATCAGTACATGCCCGGCCGTCGTCGCACCCGCAGCGGCCTCACCCAAAACAAACTCAAGCAGTACAGGAAGAAATCGCTACCCTACACCCGCAAACTCCGCTCCTCAACACCAATGGAGTACGACCCCGACACCCAGCGCATCCGCGCCCGCCTCGACAACTACGCTACTCCGCAGGAGATTGCCGAAGAAGCATACCGTGTCTGCCGCAAGAACGCGGAGTTGAGGAAGGAGGTTTGTTTAACACTACTGTCTGGAATATTTGAGACTATGTTTACTGACCACATGTCTTCGTTTGTAGTTGGAGAGCGTGAAGAAGAGTGTTGTGGTGCCTACACACCTCCCCGTTCCCGTCGTGACTACATCTACCACGCCATCGTCGTCCTCAAACACCACCATGGCCGACGCCGTCACCACCACCGGTACCGTCTCCGCCACCGCCGACGCCAAGGCCACTATCAAGGCCCTCAAGAACCGGGTTGCGGTCATGGAAGACGCCCTGAGCGAGATGAGACGGGAAGCACCCAAGATGCGGGAGTCCATGGCGTGGATGTGGGAGATCATTGGTGATAGCCGCGTTCACGTCCCGAGGGACTTGAGAGATATGTATCATGGCAGTATGACTGTCGATGCTGTGGATTGGATGGGGGGGAAGAAGGGGGGTGGCGGCCGGAAGGAGAAGGGATGGAAGGAGGGTGGTGGTGAGAAGAAGAGTGGTGGTGGTGGGGAGAAGAAGAGTGAGGGTGGCCTGAGGGCCGACAACGTCGTCGTGGGTCGCAAGCGCAAGGGCGCGAGTCCGCTTGCGGACTACAGCAAGAGGGCGAGGGTCGAGAGTGAGGATGAGGGGGAGCTGGACGGCTAAGTGGGGGGTTTGGGTGTGTGAGCGTAAGGCTCATATGTATGCCTGGAGACGACAAGGGCGTGGGACAGTGTGAGAAGTCACTGTCATAATTGTATGTAGTCCTCAAAGACCCACCTAATGAACTCTTCACAACACACAACATCAACGTAGCCAACAAGTGATATCATGACAATTCTTTATTTCTATAGGACATGCATCGCTAATTATTCAATAGCCATCCACCATAACACATGCACGAATGCGAAATAAACCACTCAATTCAAGGATGATACAAGGAATATTATCGCAATCAGCTAACATCTTCGTCTCATCCAATTCTCATTCACAGACCCCATTCTACGAAACGTGAACAAACTGTCCCATAGCGGGAACACCATCAACGACAACGTAGATGACGTAAGGACCGGCAGGGGCAACAGCCTTGTTAGGGGGCATGGTGACGGTCAAGCTCTGGGCGGTGGCGCCAGCCTTGAAGCCGGTGTTGTCGAGGAAGATCATGCGGTGACCCATGTGGACGGAGTGGGTAACGAATCCACCGTAGTAGAGCGAGATCTTGACGTTCTGAGCGTTGGCAGGAGCGTTGAACTTGATGTTGAACTGCTGCTGGACCTTGAGCTCCTTCTGCGAGATCTGGACGGCTGAGGGACGGGTGGGGTTGCCCTGGAGGTAAGGGGGAGTGTAGATCTCGTTGCGGAACTCGGTGACGAAGGGGTTCTTGGCGTCGGGCTTGAGGATGGGCTGCTCAACGGGGTTGGAGCCGGAGATCAGGAGAGTACCGTCAAGGAGGAGGAGAGCGACAGAGTGGTAGAGACGGGCGATGGTGGAAGCAGGGCCAGTGGTGAAGCGCTTGCCCTTGGGCTGGTTGGGGTCGTACAGGAGGACCTCGAGAGCAGGGTCCTGAGCAACACCGAAACCTTGAGCACCCTCTTGAGCACCGTTAACCCAGACGACGGTACCGTCGGGGAGGAGAGTTCCCTCAACCATACCACGGCCCTCGGGCATGGAGTCCATCTCCCACTCTGGGTCGGCATCGAGAGGCCTGATGCGGCCGCAGGATGGGTCAGCAGGGGCAGTGATGTCTTGGTAAGGGCCACCACCGCAGATGACGATGTCGGGGTTGTAGTCGTTGGCAGATGAGAGAGGGAGCATGACGGATCCACCGGTGTTGGGGTAGGTACGGTAGGAACCGGGGAGGTCGGGCAGCATGCGGACGACGCTTCCGGTTTCGACCTTGAAGATCTCGGCAGACTTGGAGACTTGGACGAACAGGTTACCGTCCTTCATCAGGTGCATGAAGGGGTACATGTAGTAGGGCTGGTTCTTGCTGAGGATCTCCATGTTCTTGCTCACTCCGCGAGGAGAACCGTCGGCGTTGAGCATCTCGTAGGTAGGGTTGTTGTTCTCAGGCTTTGAGGGGTCAAGGCCGTTCTTGGATCCAGATGCGACAAAGATGGAGTCGTCAGGCATGATCTGGACGGAAGCGTACCAGCGGGGAGTGTCGAGCTGAGGACCGGGCTCGTTCCAAGCCTGGCCATCGAGAGAAGCATCGGAGGAAGAGCGCTTGAGGAGACGGATACCCCTGAAACCATCACCGACAGTGGGGTCAATGAAGTCGAGAGGAGCGTTACCACCGAGAGAAGCGAAGCGGCCGTCAGCAAGGAAGATACCACCGGAGCAGAAGGCGTTGGTCTTGTAGGCCAAGGGGGTGAGCTTGTCAGTGACAGGGTCCCACTCGGAAGAGTAGGCGTACTGGCCGTTGCCGAGCTTCAGTTCAGTGTAGTTCTCGACCTTGTCAAGGAAAACAACCTTGCCGTTGGGCATGAGACCAGCGTGCATAGCAGGGACACCGGAGCGGCCCTTGAGCTGAATGCTACCGGGCTTAGCGGCGCGGGGAGCAGGGCTGGCAGCAGGAGCAGGGACGGAGGGAGCGCGAAGGCAGGGACCGTTCTGGCAACCCTCACCGCAGTGAGAGGTGGTGTTACCACAGTAGCCGTACA